AGCAATCTTTTCAGGGAAAAATGTACTTTTTGCCTCACCCCGCACTTTCACCCTAAATATGCTTCTCAGACAATCGATTGTAGAAACAATTATCCATCGCTATTTCCCGTCTTACATGCTTAAGATACCAACTGAATAACATAACAACGACTTACATTGCAAAAGACGACTTTCAAAAAAGACCGTTGACGGTCAACCACTTGTTAAAACTTTTGGTTACATGTAGCCAGGCATAAAACTAAAGCAACAATTCTCCCACGAAACTATTTTTCGTATTCTTGTTTATTAGCTAGCATCAACAGGGCTTCATTTTATGGGTACAGGGCGACGCGCTACGATGGAATCTGTGCCCTATAGCATTCAGATGGCTACTGTTTCAGCAGTATTGGTGCTGTAACAAAGTCTGACTGTGCGGAAGGAAATCACGGTTCCATCTCACTTGAATATTTTCTGTTGGATACGAAGATCTCACTGCAGGGTTCCACGAAGAAAGTGGATACTTTCCTGTTGCGGTGTGTAAGATTCGCCAAAATATTTCCAAAGTGGTTGATAACTGGGTATAAACTCTTTTGTTCCATGAATGTTGCTTGTTTGAAGTTTCTGTTTTTAATTCCGGCACGCGAAAGCATGTGTGTCACGATTTTAACGCGATGTGAAGGGCGTAAAAGCAGTTCTATGCCTTTCTTGGAAACCCCATCTCCAAAAACGTCTTTTAAATTTCTAATGGAGAGTGGACACATTAGAAAGAGGATTCAGAGGTTTATACGATCTCACAATCAAAACCAAATCTTATGATATGTTTTTATGGGAAGTACAATACATTAATATGCAGATGTCAACAAATGTGTCACAAAAATGACATGACACTGTACGCCAGTCCTGCCTTTACCTGAAGGACTTTACCCTCAACAATTTGGTACTTGTATAGGGTATATGTCAAGTGACTGTAAAGTACTCGACTTTAACGAAACAATTCCCTGAAGGTTTTTTAACAGTCGCCGCTCATGACATTTTGAGTGGAGATATAATATCATGCAATCCTTCTCTGATGTGCTTTGTTTTTTACAAACTTTTAAATTGCCGGTTTCAGGCCTGAAACACTTATGACTTTGGGGACTGGGATTCGTTCTCCGTGGCAACGCGGTGCTCCTCTTAAGCGGTCTGGTTTTGATCCTCAGTTTTACACCTAAAATCATTCCTTCTCGATACCTGCTCCAGAAAAAAGGGAGAGGGATAACAAACCGCGCTGTTAGGCGGTCGAGAACCCCTTTTCGTGTGTCGTTGACCGTCAGATTATCCCGGGCCTTAAATTGGAAATTGGCTACATGCTTGCTTGTTACGCGGGGTTGATTCAAGCATAATCGACAGAAATGTGTCCACATTACTGTAATTGGCTGGTGCTATTTTTGTCAGGAGGTGTGAAGATGGAGTGAGCCATGGTCAGTTTATCTTCTCTGTTTGCCTGCTGTCAGGGCAAAAACAAACCAACCCTCCCCACCCTTTGAGAAGGAAAAAAAGAAGGGTTGGAAAGATTGGAAATTACCAAGCCTTGGTCTCCACTTTAAATAATATTCCTTCGCTCACCTCTTCAGTTGCCAGACGTGTTGTTGTGTTTCAGAGGGCCTGTGTTGAAGAGCCAAATCGTGTTGGTCGTAACAAATCTACTTCTCTTAGCGGAGACTTTGATTAAAATGAGCGACACTTTCGTGTGTCTGAAGTGCGCTTGTGAAGAAAGGAACACAGTAAGTGCGCCCTCTGATCAGTATTCAACTGGAAGATGTTATATTAAGTAAATGTGTTTATTTTCTTTTCGTTTCACGATGAAATCTGTACAGTTTTCCAAACTGAGGTTCTATTACATGGCATTAGGTTAAAGCTGCCGTTCGTGCTGTGTTAAACTTTGTGTTCCGCCTTTTTAAACTGAAATGATTAATTTGCATATTTTGAACTGTTATGTTTTCTTTTCGTCTTTATTTCGCCGTTGTCGTTTGTCCTCGAGTTAACATCCAAATATAAATTGGAAGTATCAAAATACACGTCATTGTGATTCAAGTTTGGCTCAGTGTTAGAAAAAATCAACGACAGAGCTGACATCAATGGCAGAAGTAGAGGGCATTGGAATTGCTAGTTCTGCGCTCGTGAATATGCCATCTTCTTTTTTTTAACGCAGCACAGTAGTGGCTAAATCCATTTTGTGTCTGTCCATGAATAAGGATGGTTAAAGTTTGATCACTTGTCCACTGCGTCCTTTCGCGTATGGCGACGTGGAAGTTTCGCCGAGTTTTGTGATTTATAACGCTAAAACTTGATATGTTTAATACGTGTGGGCAAACATCATTTTTCCTTTTAAGACACCCCGATCATCCTCGCGGCTTCTTGAAATCATTTATTGCTCAGTTGTTTACATATTGCATGAGCATATCGTTTCCTTCTCAATGACGTCGGTATTTGGACAAACCATGTGATGAAAGCCTGGCAGACGAAATGTGGCCCATAAAAGATAACGAGGTATCATCAAAAGACGGCCCGCCGTCGGCCTTGAATGTCTCCAAGATGTTTGCGATAGATGGCTCCCCACGGTTAGAGCATGTAGGTATGGTGCATCATGAATTAAACAATGTCTCTGCTGGCTCATTCGAAAAAGATCTGGCAAAGGAAATGAGTTCTCCACAAGTTTTTTCCCCAAGACTAACGTGATTATCGATTTACGGTGAAAATTGAAATGGATATGCATGGACAAATGTGACAGTCTTGCAGATCTTCACGGTTTGATTTCTGTCTCTAGTGTGCGAATGGGACAAATTACATATTCCTCCACTGTGTTCAA